CTCCCCTCCCACCCCTCTCCCACGTCCCCCCCCACGTCTTCGACAAGGCCGCCCCCCCCCCACGTCCCCCCCACCCAGCCCCCGTGTGCGCGCCGCCCAGGGACAGGGGAGCGGGAGGGCGAGGGGGGACGAGCCTCGTGCCTTCCTTCCCGGGGGGGGCCGTCTCGAGGCTCGCTCGCCCTCCCTGCCGAAGGGGCACTTTTCCATGGGGTGCTCAGCCTCGAAGCCACTCAGGTTCAGCGGCTGCAGTCTTGTAGTTCGTTGGGAGAGGAGGAGGAGGAGGGGGAGGAGGAGGAGGAGTAGGAGGAGGAGGAGGAGGAGGAGGAGGAGGAGGAGGAGGAGGAGGAGGAGGAGGAGGAGGAGGAGGAGGTGTCGGGTCCCGAGGCTGCGCGAGCGTGGTTGAGAACCCGGGCCAGCTGCCGGGGCACCCGACGCGTACGCCCGCGCGTGCAGGCCCTCGTTCTCCGCGCGGCGCGCCGCGCGAGCGGCCACCGCGCAGGCCCCCGCGCGGGGCCGCCCCCTTCCTCGCGGGCGGGGCCTCTGCCTCTTCGCCGCCCGCCTGCGATTGCCAGCTCCTGGCAGCCTCAGAACCGACGTCCCGCGCGTGGTATCCTCCTCCTCCCCCTCCTCCTCCCCCTCTCTCTCCTCCTCCTCCTCCTCCTCCTCCTCCTCCTCCGCCGCCTCCTCCTCCTCCTCCCCCTCCTCCTCCTCCTCCTCCAGCAGGGAGATCGACGAGATGATCCGGCTCTGCGACAAGGCCGGCGACGGCCAGGCGACCCCTTCTCCGTCGGCCGGGCCCGGCCGTCGCTGGGCCGTCGGGTCAGGAGTTACGTTTCCAGGAGGGGTCGAGGAGGAGGAGGAGGAGGAGGAGGCGGAGGAGGAGGAGGAGGCGGAGGAGGAGGAGGAGGAGGAGGAGGACGAGGATCTCCTTCCTTCCCCCTGGTGAGTTGTAGTGACGTTCTGGATCGTGAGCCCCCAGAGGCTCCCAGAGGCCTTGCGAGAGCCTCCGAGCATCTTCCTCTCTCCTTGATCCTCGAGTCCAGGGCAGAACTTAGGCTTAGGCTTTCTCCCTCTTTCTCCTCCTCTGTCCTTTTTCCTCGTTCATAATTCCTCCCTATCGTACCCCGAGGCGTGTCAGTAGGGTGGGCCGGGCGTTTCGCTTGAGTTTTCCTCGCCCTTTCTGATCATGATCCTGGATCTTACACTTGCAACACTTTCTCGGATAGAGGGCGGGCCGTTTTCAACGTGTTGTTCTCGCTTTAGCGCCGCGCGCATTCGTCTTAATATTTTGTATTAGTTTCACGGGGCAGGGCGGGTGTTTTTCAACATGTGGATATCGCCTTAGCGTCGCGCTCATTCGTCTGACAAGCTTGCAGCAGTTTCACGGATAGAGGGCGGGCGATCTTCAACACGTGGTTCTCGTCTCAGCGCCACTGGCAACATCACTCAGAGTTCGCATGGCCGAAGTGTCAGGAGGGGTTCTGGCACGCTTTCATATTGTCGGGACGCATCAGGCACGCCGTTTCGCGGTGTGTCGGGACGACCGACATGGGTACGGAAAGTATGGGTACAATGCCCAACAGCAGTTCCTGGTTCATTCTGAACGGGACTCGCTGTCCACGCCGCCGCGGCCTTTGTCCATTCGAGGCCGCCTGCCCAACAGCGGCCGCTGTTGGTTTGGGACAACATTTGTTGTTGGGCATAGTGCCCATTCTTTCCGTACACATTTCGGGCGTCCAAAGCATCCGTCGGATTCCCATATTCCGATCAGCGTCGAGCGCGCCCAGGGGGACCCGCTTCTGCTGCCCTCTCTCCCGGCGGGGCCACCCGAGACCATCGCAGGAGCCTGCTCGTTGGGCCATCTTTCAGCGACAGTTGCGACGTGGCCTCGCTGAGGTCCCCATCATTGCTCCAGGGATAATGATACATCGGGGCGGCATGCAGAGGCACTTCTGAAACAGCGCGCCCGCAGCGCCGGGAATAAGGAAAGGAGGGCCCCAGCTTCAAGCCCCCCCCCCCTTCCAAAAGGGGGGGGGAGCTTCCGAAGCTACCCCCCCTCCCCTTCCCTTCTGTAAGGGTTTCTAAGCTAAACGGGGGGGGGGGCTTCGAAGCTACCCCCTCCTGCCCTCCCTTTTCCGGAGCAGAAAGTGAGCCCGGGCTTCCCTTCCAAAGGAGGGGGGCCTCCGGAAGCCCCCCCCCCCCTCCCTCCCTTTTTTGGTCTGGACACAACGGGGGGGCGGCTTCAAGCCACCCCCTTGGCAGTGCCCCCCTTCTGCCCTTCTTTGTAAAAAGGGGGGGGGGGCTTCCAAAGCTACCCCCCTTCCCTTTCGGAATGGCTGAATCTCTGCGGACAGGTGCGCACCGCAGCGCTGGAGGACACATTGGAGGATAACGTCGAGACCGCGCTCGAGCTCAAGGCTATGATCACGACGGACGCGCGATGGACCTATTTGATAGTGACCTTCAAGTCCACTGCCAAGCCCGTCCTCGAGCGCAAGAGAAAGAAGCAAGACGCCAGCAACCAGCTCATGGCCGAAAAGCTAGGAGCACGATTACAGAGTGCAGAACCAAGCAATCAGTACATCAGCGCGCACCTCGGCGTGGACATAGAAGAAAGGCTGGACATCCTCACTCGGGCTATCAAGAAGCAAAAGCCATTCCATGACGCGGAGAGGAAGATATCTCGAGGCATTGGTATTCGAAGCGTGGCAAAACAAGGCAGCATTCAGAAGCGCGACGACTCAGCAGGTGCGTGGCAGGCATTAATAATGGCAACATGAAGCGCAACTACAGCAGAGCGTTACGTTCCAGACCCAGTCTCGCAGAATGGGGACGACGCGTGCCCTAAGCTGGCGCTCGAGGGGGATTTTCAAGCCCTAGCTATCGACCTCGACGAAGAGAAACGCCTGCTCCAAGAAAACACTGGCGACTTCAACGACGAGCTCAAGCCGCAGCCCCAGGCGTAATATTACGACGCGAAGGATAACGTAGTCAAGCTTTTCTACGGGGACAAGAAGCGCCGAAGAAACTTCAGAAAGAGGGCACTGGTTCTTGAATGGTCGGCCTCCCAGAAGAGTTATCCCTGGACCCTGGGTGCAACGAGGCGTTGATCGAGGCGCCGTGGACAGACGAACGCATTGAATGTAGTCTAGCTCGCGTCCTCAGGGCCGGCGTTGCTCTACTGGGCGCCCATCGCAGCCAGAGCTTCGCGCCCGACAAGATGAGCGCCAAACCCTCATATCCAGGACTGCGTATTTTGCACGTGATGTGCCCGTTTTAGCGATGCGTGTGCCGTCAACTACAATGCCAGTCGCTGTTCGTGGTCTTCGCCGCCGCGTGCTCGCTGCTGCTGGCCGCGTCTTAGGAGAGAAGTCCCCGCGGCTGCATCGCGCGTCGTCGCGTCCGGTCTCCAGCGAGCGAATCTTGACGTCATCGCGTCCAGCAAGGGCGCCACCAACGCGTTCCCCGTCAACGTGGTCGACAAGGTTGCACAAGTGATGTTCGCGTGCCTGGCAGGCGCAAACAGAAACTCTTCGCTCAAACGTGCGGGCGAGCCGCTGTCAAGGTCGACGGCTTCGACAAACCTGGGGATTTCATAATGGGATCTGGAGTTATGCCTGGATGCAGCGCGTGGCGAACTTCTCTCAATTCTGCGTGCGAGCAGCCAGTGGGCCAATGGCTGGACCATGCGACGCAGGATTCAGTTCCGTTCGCCGCTGTCTCCGCCATCGCTCAAACCATGATCGACCTCCCAGTCTACCTTTACGTGGGCGACATCCTAGAGACTCGCCGAGCGGCCCGGTGCGAGCGCTCAAGACCTGCGGGAATATTCACGCGGACAACGGCAAAGGGGGCGGGGGGGGGGGCGCGCTTCAGGGCAAGCGGAGGGCCATCTACATGATGCTCATTCCGACCCTCTGCACCGGGGACGTGGGCGGAAGACTCGAGCAGTTCTCGTGGGGCATGCGCAGTTCCTGGGCAGGGCCAACGCAGCGACGGAACTACGCAAACTCAAACGCACCCGAATCAGCAAATGCTGCGACTCCAACAAGGCGAAACTCATTCTCTTCATCGAGCAAGGCGCCTGGGCGGCCGCAGCGAACGAGGAGGGCCCGACGGGCGAGCAGCATAAGCGCGCATCAGTTCAAGGACACCATCCACAGAGCCCTTCTTCAAGTTGGCGCAGTGGTGGAGGAGGGCAAGACGCCAGCGGGAACCATTGGGGATGAACTGGCCGCCTGGCTTGCAGGCTTGCGAATTCAGATGTGGATGCCGATCCATCTGCGCCGCGGTCGATTTCGCGCGCGCACTGCCGCGAGCTGAGAGAAGGCGCCCGCCAGGAGCGGGCGGCGGCGGCTGCTCAGAGACATAGAGGGGTGCCAACTCCGCCCGCCGAGGCCGCTCTTCTGATGCTTCTTCCCCTATCCCCGCGCCTCCTCCCCCTTCCCCTCCCCCTCCTCCTCCTCCTCCTCCTCCTCCTCCTCCTCCTCCTCCTCCTCCTCCTCCTCCTCCTCCTCCTCCTCCTCCTCCTCCCCCTCCCTCCTCTTCCTCCCCCTCCCTCCTCTTCCGCCTCCTCCTCCTCTTCCTCCTCCTCTTCCTCCTTCTCCCCCGATTTTTCTTTCTTTTTTTTTGCGTCGAGCAAACATGGATCCTACGATTGTGGCGTTCTTCTTCTTCTTCTTCTTCTTCTTCTTTTTCGTCCTCCTCCTCCTCCTCCTCCTCCCTCTCCTCCTCCTCTTCGGCGTCGGGCCCAGGAAGTCTCGCCCCCGTTGCTCCCGCCGCGGCGATTGCGTTGTCGGCCCCTGAGTCGTGGTCTGAGGTTTTCTCAGGGTGGTTCCCGTAATAGTTTTCTTGTTTTCTTGGCCCCTGGGTCTTGGTCTCGTCTTCTCTGACCCTAGTTCGTTTTTCTCGTGTTCCTAGTTTCCTCTGCCCCTGGGTCGTGCGTGGTCTCGTTTTCTCTGACTTTGGTTCGTGTTCTCGTTCCTTGTTTTCTCGGCCCCTGGGTCGTGGTCTAGTTTTCTCGGACCCTGGTTCGTTTTTTTTTTTCTTGTGTTCTCGGCCCCTTGGTCGTGGTTTAGTTTTCTCGGACCCTGGTTCGTTTTCTTGTTTTTTTGTGTTCTCGGTCCCTGGGTCGTGGTCTCGTTTTCTCTGACGCTGGTTTGTTTTCTCGTTTTCTCATTTTCTCGACGCCTGGGTCATAGTCTCGTTTTCTCGGACCCTGGTTCGTTTTCTCGTTTTCTCGGCCCTTGGGTCGTGGCTTCGTTTTCTCGGATTGATATTCGCGTTTTCTCGGGTTGGGTCGTGGCCTCGTTTGTTCGGGCCCTGGTTCGTCTTCTTGTTTTCTCGACCCCGTGGTCATGGTCCAGTTTTGTCGGGCCCTGGTTTGTTTTTTCATTTTCTCGTTTGTTCGGCTTCTGGGGTTTTGTTTCGTTTTCTCGTGTTTTACGCTTTCTCGGTCCCTGGTCCGTTTTCTCGTTGCCTCGTTATCTCGGCCCTTGGGCCGTGGTCTCGTTCTCTCGTTGTTTCGTTTCCGCGGACCCTGGTTCGTTGTCGCGTGTTCTCTGCCCCTGGGCCGTGGTGTCGTTTTCTCGGACCTTGCTTCGCTTCCTCGTTTTCTCAGCCCCTGGGTCGTGGTCTCGTTTTCTCTGACCCTGGGCCGTCGTCGTCGTCGGTCGGCGGTCGTGCGTCGTCCGTCGCCGTCTTTGGATGACTTCGTCTTCGTTGTGACGACCACGATGAGGTCATGCGAAGACGGCGACGGGTACGGCGACAATGATGGCGACGGCGGCGACGACGACGAGGACGACGACGGCGTCGTACGGAGACGTCGAGCGATGGCGATGGCAACGACGACGGCGACGGGGGAGGATTGTCCGGCAGGGGGAGATCAAGGGAGGGGGGTGGTAGCTAAGCCGCCCCCCCCTTTTTGAAAGGGGGGGAGGGGAGGGTAGCTTCCGGCAGGGGGGAGACATGGAGGGAAGTGGGGGGGCTTCTGGCAGAGGGGGGGTCAAAGGAAGGGGGGGTAGCTACGCTTTGCCCCTCTTTCGTAAGGGGGGGAGGGGGGGGTAGCTTCCCGGGTGCCGGAAGGGGGGGAGGGGGGGAGGGTTGTGCTAAGCCCCCCCCGCTGTGGAATCAAAGGGGGAGGGGGTGGGTAGCTTCTGGCAGAGGGGGGTCCAGGGGAGGGGGGGAAGCTAAGCCCCCCCTCCCTTTGGAAAGGGATGGATGGGGTGTAGCTTCGGAGTGGCGACAGGGGGGGGGAGGGGGGTAGGTTCAGGGGGGGAAACATGGGGGAAGGGGGGGGGGGGGGCTTCTAGCAGGGGAGGTGGAAGGGGGGGGGATGTAGCTAAAGGGGCGACCCTTCCTCCTCTGCTCCGGCGCTGTGGGCGCGCTCTCTCGTACTCCTGCAGATCCCGGATGTTTTTGGCCTCCTGACTCAGGTCGCCTCTCAAAGGGTTGGGAATCTTTCTACTGCTCATCAGCCCTGGGCAATCTTGGAGAGCACCTTGGGATATCGCGGGCCAGGCTGGAGCTGCCTTGGGCAATCTGGCCGGCGCCGCGCGCCGGTCCGCGTGGCCCGAGCTGCTCTCTTGGCGAGAGGCGGACCCCCCGCGCCGCTCCTTTCCGAGCGGCGGGGCCCAGCCGCGCGAGCAGCTCTTTGGGGCGACGTGGGTACTCCAGATTTCGTAATAAAGCGCAGAGGGGAGGAGGAGGAGGAGGAGGAGGAGGAGGAGGAGGAGGAGGAGGAGGAGGAGGAGGAGGAGGAGGAGGAGGAGGAGGACGAGGACGAGGACGAGGAGGAGGAGGAGGAGGAGGAGGAGGGAGGAGGAGGGCTGTTCAAAGCCACAAGCTGTCGCAGTCGCAGACGGCTGCCCCGCAGGTGCCCAGGAGCAAGCGAACTCTAGCTGCCAGGCCTTTTTTTTTTGGGGGGGGGGGGGGTCGACTGAAGGGCGAGGAATATTGCGATGGTGCTGATCATTGCGGTGGTGGTTGTGCTGCTGCTGATGCTAGTGCTGATCTCGTGCTGATTCGGATGACGTTGTTAATGTTCTCTCTCTGCTCGCTTCCTGTGCTCGCCGCCGCCCCGCCGCTGATGCTGGCTCAAGTCACTATTACAACTGTATCAGGGAGCGCGCTTCCTGCGCGCGCGAGGGTAAAAGGGGAAGTTGGATCGTCTCGTCGTCGTCCTCTCCTCCTCACCCTCTCACTTCTACACATCACCTAACGAATTATTGCGTATTATGAAGCACATCAGATAGACCCGTCATGAGCGCTGAAATTCATACCTCATCACCACCATTTAGTCCAACCTTCGCCGGGAATCATGTACCTCTTGCGAATGACTATTTGCCACTCGAAATGTTCATTAATGGATCAGACGCGCAAGCGACTGCTGTCAATGATAATAACGTAATTGCTCACGCAGACAACTCCCTTGCTCTGGTTATCGTACTTCTAACGGATGAACCAATCCTCCTAGAGTATTTGTTTCTGGCTTCTCGACGATCCACGTGATCCTACAGCGGACGGTGGATCGGCATTGATTCCGCCGGTAGAGAAAAGGGGACGGTATGGCACGCGAGCTCTCTGCTATCGTGGAATATGAGCATATCAAATCTGGCATTTCATCCGCTACAAGCAATATGGCTACGATTGTGTTTCATGCGCAGAAGCGTCCGGGGCGAAACGTCACAAGGCGCCTGGAGATGTCAGCATGGACAAGGGTTCCACAGTTCAAGTCTCCGACGTGGCAGGATACACGACTGATGGAGGACAAAATCCTGTCGAGGATCGGAGCTGTGTAACATTTCCGATTGTGAACCTATCCCCGCGCAGCGGTGGCAAAGCATCTCTATCATCAAGATCTCCTTCGGTATCCAGTTTGCGAAGCCGACCAAGAAGCACCCTAGGATCCTGTAAATCTTCTACCGCAGGTATCTCAGTGAAAAAACGGCTGTTGGGCCAAAGGTTTGGGGTGCCATCCCTTAGCCGAACACATATGCCTAGGGAAGGCACGTAGGTACAGGGACCGTGTCGGCGACTAGTATGTGCAAGATTTTCGCGCAGTTGTCGATACTGTAACCTCAGTTAGCTTTGTTCCGAATGATTGGACACGAGGGTATATAATTGCCGCCATCTCGCTTTTCTGGAGTGGCAACAAGCAGCGGCGGAGAACAGACCAGCCAACGAGAAGAGGCTACGTGACGGGTTGGCAGCACATGTGCGTATTTCCGCGGCAGAAAAGGACGAACATGTTCGGCGGATTTTTAATTGAAGAGGAATCCTTCCATCACGCCGCTCGACAGGCACAACTGGGGCAAGTTTCGATTTCAGCAGTAGCCCATATATCTTTGACGGAGGCTCTGCATGGCAAAAGGGAGTTGGAAGAGCTAGCATATTTGAAACGTAAGGAAACAAAGGGCCGAGAAGCATGATACATTATTGCGAAGACAGCCCACATGCAGCACATGCGGCAGAACAGTGAACAAGGAGCAGGACCATCGCATTGACCAGCGGAATATGCAGTGCGAGAGATATGCACAGGCCATTGCTATGGCTCAACATACAAGGGGAGAAACAGTATCGATTGTACGACAAGTGAGTCTCCGTGAGCGCAGCGCTATCGACCAGGCAGAGCAGGTAAATGCCGCATTGTACAGGGCCATTGAAGATTTGGCAAGGCAAAGAAAAGTAAATCAAAACTTCTTGTTCTCCATGGGTCACAGAAAACGACCATGCTCGGCGATGGGAAGATGCCAGCAACGCCTCAGACTTGGCTTGTAGTGCGAAGTGGTCCTCCGGTCGCCTCGATGGCCATGACAACACAAAAGGGTGCTTCTTCCTCATGGAATGGTAGGATGAGTGGAACAGTCACCGAGGTTCAGCTTTTGGCACTGGGAAACTGTTCGCACCATGCTCCAGAGGGCAAACCCCGCCTACGTTTTGAAATTGTTTCGGGGGATTCGCGGAAATCTAATTTTTGCAGTTGCCCTAAGTCATCGGAATGTGCATGATGTGCTATGCCGTTTTGCAATGCTCACATCCATCCTATGACGAGACGTTGTAGACGCTGTACTCGGAGCAAATCGGAGGCCGAAACGGGCGCGGAGAGAAGACGCCAGGAAGAGGGGCGTTGGCCGTCTCAGCAGGGGGAAGAGCATTGCGGCTAACCTCATCAAAGAGCAGAAGGACCTCCTGGTGGGAATGGCGAGGGAGGAGGAGGCGGTGATAGAGATGATCGAGGACCCATAACATATCCTCTGGAACTTTGGAAACAGATGGGGCAATCGCCGGGCATCACGCTGATGCCGATCCCTGACGCGACCGGTCTGCGTGAGTGGGCCTCCCGAGTATTTGCAGGAGTGGGCTTTTCCTTTCGCCCCCACGCCCCAGAAAATGCTCCCACCGCCGCCATCATCAGACATCTGCCAACCATTTCGGCACATTCTTTCCCGGTGCCCTTCGCATTCGCCAGTTCTACCTCCACGCCACCAGCCACTTCACCCGCTCCTGCACGTGTGCCTCCACCAGCGCGGCCGCAAGCTTCACCGTTATTTTATGTTCAAGTTGCGTCCTGCCTCGTCGCTCCCCTCTTCCGGTTCCCCGCCCCCTTTCGTTTCGCATTCTCTTTTGTTCTCTTTCTGAGCATGTTCTTAGGGTGGAGGGCTCAGGGTGAGATACACATGGGCTTTTGCACCTCGAAAATCAACCCGTCGTGTGATTCACCTTTTGCAGGTTCGAGCCTCGAACATCCATCGAAACGGCATTTCAGATTTCACCCTTTGCCCTCCACCCTAAGAAAATGCTCGGTCTTTCGTTTCCCTTGCTCCTCCGAAGCGGGGCTGATTACTCTGGACAGGGCGAGAGGCTCCAAGAGCAAGACTGCCACGGACTACCAGGCCGCCCCGCCACGGCGGAGGAAGGAAACTTGATAGGTGGGGGGGGGAAAGGAATGAGGAGAGAGGGGGCGGGGGTGGGAAGGAGGGAGGAGGGTGGGACGGAGGGGATAGGAGGTGGGGGGAGGGAGGAGGGGGGAGGGGGGAGGCAGGAGGAAGGGGGGGATGGGCAAGTCGGGTGCGCTCGCGTCATATCTGAGATCTGATGTCCCTCCCGAGTTGGGGGCGAACATTGCGGGGTGGGGGGCGCCGGAAGCAGAGGTCCCGACGAAGGCTCCGCAGGCGGTGGCGTGTCAGACGGGGGGTTAGAACGGGGGAGAGCTGGGGCTAGAATTGCGGGGTGGCGGGGCCCCGTGGCGGCGCAATGGAGGCGCGGTGGGAAGCGTTGGTGGGTTCTGGGTGAGAAATTGTAGGGTGGGGAGTCCCAGGAACAGAACTCTCGTTGGGTAAGGGAAGGGGTGCCGGAGCTTGGTGGAGGCGCGGTGGAGGCGCGGTGAACGCGCGGTGGAGGCGCGGTGGAAACGCGGTGGAACATGCCAGGGCACGGCGGGGTGTGTGCGTGCGTTTCGGGCTAGACGGGATAGGAGCTTGGGTCACGAGGGGTGGGGATGATGGAACGTGGCGGGCGCGTGGTCCACAGGTGAAAGTTGTGTCGCACGCGCCTCTGGGGTCGGCGGATTTCCGGCCCCCGGCGGTCTCATTTTTCGCAAGTTGCCAGGGGCCTTTGTTGGGGCACATGCAGCTGACGCCGGTCGTCAGGCCACATGCTCTAGAGAGAAGCTTTGAAGATATAGAATGTGCAGTGGTGGGTGTGGGGGTGAGTGGCTCGGATCGCCCTCCGGGGGGACGGGGAGTCCAAGATCGCCGGGTCGGGCAGCCGTTTCGCTCGAGATGTTCTAACAGTTTTGGACGCTTCGCGTAAGTCGGGTCTGTCCCCCGACAGGGGTTTTTGGGCGAAAAACGAAAATATTCAAAAAATAATTCAAAATGGTAAAAACAACTCAAACAATGGTTCCCAGTTTTTTTTTACGGGACAGGCCCGACTTGACACTTCGCGTATCTGCACCAGCCAGGTAAAAAAGGACGCATAGGCGAAATGAGGTGATCAGGGGAGGCAGGATCAGAGATTGAGGCAGCCGCGACCGTGAGAAGGACGAGGAGGAGGAGGAGGAGGAGAAGTCGGAGGAGGAGGCGGAGCAGGAGGAGGAGGAGGAGGAGGCGGAGGCGGAGGAGGAGGAGGAGGAGGAGGAGGAGGAGGAGGAGGAGGAGGAGGGGAGGAGGAGGAGGAGGAGGAGGAGGAGCAGGAGGAGGAGGAGGAGGAGGAGGAGGAGGTGGAGTAAGACGAAGATGAGGGAACGGGATGAAGGAGGGGGGAAATGGATGAGGGAGGAGGGAAAAGGATGTGGTATAGGCTGATGTGGAGGAGGAGGACGAGGAGGAGAAGGGGGGTGAGCAGAGGGGCCAGAGGCCTCTTGGATGCCTTCCGAAGTCTCTTGGGATATTTCTTGGGCGCCTTCTCGAGGCCTGTGGCGGCGTCTTGGGGGTGTCTTTGCGGTCCCTGCGGCGTCTTGAGTGCTTCTGGGGAGCTTCTCGGGGCCTTTTGGAAGCCGCTGGGGGGCCTCTTGGGGCCTCTCGGGCTCACAGGTCCCACAGGTTTCACTGACTCTGCAGGTCTCAGAGTTGCCAGAGGTCTCACAGGTCCCACCAGCCCCATAGGTCCCACAGGCCCCACATGTCCCATGGTCCCACTGCCCCACAGGCCCCGCAGGCCCCACAGGTGACACATGTCTCACAGGTCCCACCAGTCCCACAGCTCCCGCAGGTCGTGCAGGCCGCACAGGCCCTTCAAGGTTCCGCAGACATTGCAGGTCTCGCAGGTCCCACAGATTACACAGGTCCCGCAGGTCCTACAAATCTCAGAGGTGCCACAGGTGTCGCAGGTCCTACAGGGCCCTGAGGTCCCACTGGTCCCATAGGTGTTGCAAGTCTCGCAGGTCTCACAGGTCGCAGAGGTCCCGCAGATCCCACAGATCTAACATGCCCCGCAGGTTTCACAGGTCGCACAAGTTCACAGTTCCCACCTGCCCCACTGGTCCACCGAGTCGCGCAGATCTCACAGGTCCCACAGGCCACGGAGGTACCCCCCAGGTCCCCAGATCCCAGAGGTCCCACAGGTTCCACAGGTCGACGGTCCCACAGGCCCCACAGGCCCCACAGGTCTCACAGATCCCGCCTGCCTCGCAGGCCCCAAACATCCCACAGGCCCCACAGGCTCCAGGTCCCACATGTCCCGCAGGCCCCGAAGGTCCCACAGGTCCCACAGGTCCCACAGGTCCCGCACATGTCGCAGGTGTCGCACAGGTCCCACAGGCCCCACAGGTCCCGCAGGTCCCACAGATCGCACAGGTCCAAAGTCCCCACCCGCTCCACAGGTCCGGCAGATCTCGCAGGTCCCACAGGCCACAGAGGTCCCCCAGGTCCCTCAGGTCGCTCGCGTTCCACGGTTCTCACCCGCCCCGCAGGTCCTGCAGGTCCCCGAGGCCTCACGTGTCCAGCACGCCCCACAGGCCCCGCACCCCGCGGGTGGAGCAGGTTGCGCAGGTCCCA